AAACATTCATCAGCAAGGGATGTGGTAGGTGGAAATTAACTCCTCTGTAAATAAGGAGATCAGGAGTTTGTTTAAATAAGTTCAGCTGCACTCGTTCACAGCCATGGAGACCATGGCTATGCAGCCTGGTTTTTAAAATGTTTATCCCAGAAACATTCACAACAATTTTCTTTTTTTTCCAAAGAGAGGAAAAAAAAGCTTGTGGATTATTCTCATGATGCATTCTCTCTTTGGATATAAAAGATATCAAAGGGAAAATAAAACCATCTTTGGCAGAAGGTATTTGTTTAATGGGTTAATAAATAAGAACAAACTTTAAGGAGGAAGAGACTAAAGTCTAATACTTTGGTTCAAAGAAATCAATTCCACAAATAGAACATGGGGGACTTTTTTTTGGCAGATGCTCCTGGGTAAAACCTTTAAGGGTTTAATTATCCACAACCTGACATGGGCTGAACAGTATTATGAAACTTCCAAAAAACTAAGTGAAAGTTATATCAAGAAAAATATAGTGCCCAGATTACTAGAAATAAGCATCCCACCCTACTCTTCACTTGCCAGGACAACCGTGGAAGATTTGGGCTCAGTTCTGAGCATGATTTTCCAAGAGGGGCACTGGTGAACTCAGAAGCATCTAGAAGCAGGCTCTGGGTCTATAAACAATATGAAATGAGGAAATACTGGAGGAGCTGCTTCTAGTATTTACAGGCCTGCCATGTAAAAGAAGAGCAGCTTGGGCTGTCCTGTCTTCAAGCCTGTTCCCGACCAGTCACCACCAGGACACCAGGAACTCCTACTTGGCTCTGGGGCTCTGATCCCTCTTGCCCAATTGCTTCCCACATGGGTCTGTAAGACAAGATGTTACTGGATGTACTACAAAAACAAAAAAACCAAAAAAACAAAACTGACCAGTCACCACCAGGACACCAGGAACTCCTACTTGGCTCTGGGGCTCTGATCCCTCTTGCCCAATTGCTTCCCACATGAGTCTGTAAGACAAGATGTTACTGGATGTACTACAAAAACAAAAAAACCAAAAAAACAAAACTACACACATATATATACATATGTACATATGTGTATGTGTATACACACACATACATGTAGTGGTTAACTATGTTTGGGCAAAACTGTACTAACAGTATTCCTTACAATAGAATGTTTTGGAATCTTCAAATGCTAATATCATTGCAAATACACAAGATATAGAAGTGTACTCCAAGTTTCCCAATCTTTTTTGACTTCCAGAAACTTCTTGAGAAACTAGCATTATTCTATATATGCAGATATTCTGAGAAACCTGATTCTAGACTTTTCTCTTTCCACTAGGCTCAGCATTGATATAGGTACATGGGGGCAGGAAACTAAAGGTTTAGATACAGTGCCTGCCTTCGAAGACATCTTCATCCATAAAGATAAATGGCTGACACACAAAGCCTGGACTGGATAATACTGGGGGGAATTTCATGGGAGAAGGCCACCTCACAGGTCCATTGGGCATTTATATGGTATTCTGCAGAATAACATGGCACCATCCACATTTCATGATACAGGAAAGGACTAAACAGTAGCCTTGTAATCTTTCATTAAAGGCTAGAACTTTGGGAAATTGTCTAGCTTTCTATGTGGGCACTGTTCAGTCCCAAGACTCATCTATCTTTCTTAATACCTTCCAATTCTATCAAGTCAACTCATTACCAAAGAATATTTCCACCTCCTTAAGTATATTAAATAGCTTAGAACTTTGTAAATATGTACCTCAAATTTACCAGTTCATGCTACCTACCCTACCTCAGGACTTGTAGGAAAGGAAATGAAACCAGTATTTTGTTCTGTGTAACTAGCATGAATTGCAACTCAATTGCAAGGCTGATAGAATGCCTGGTTTTAATCTCCTTTTCTTTGCTAAAGGGCCTAGAAGTCAGTCTCTTTACTTCAAAACATTCAGTAGAAAAAATAGGAGAAGAGATGTAGCCACTTAAATACCAACATAGCTGGAGACCAACAGGTAGGAAAGGGCCACACGCCTGAATGGATATTTACAAAAGAGAATGACGTAGGCGGGATGGGGTAGGAGGGTGCTCGTGACGGAGGTGAGAGTTCAGATCAATAGTTAGACAGGCAGAGAAGAGGAGGGAGAGGACAGAAAGTGGGGTCCAAGTGTCTTGGGTCACCCCCAGAGCGTACCAAGTTCCACTCTTCCACTGTACTAAAATTTGCACATATATCCTCATGCACAAGGATGTATTTTTAATTTCTTGGTCACCTAGTAACTTAGTTCTATCCTAATGATCTCCCTTCATTTAGCCTTGATAAATCATAAAACTTGGGCCAATGAAAGAGAAATATTTAATGCTGTGCTGAAACTTCCTCTTAAATAAAAACGAAAAACTGACTCGTTCTGCCAAATGAAAACATTTGTAAAGGTTTCCTTGATCACTCAGGGAAGAAAAATATGTTTATCAGTCTGTTTAATCCCTACAGACGCAATGACCACGCCACCAAGGAGGGCCCCAAACTTCCTGTCTCAGTAGATGTGATCCTCTGAAAGTAAAGTTAGCCCTCCTGGCTGAATGTGCTCGCTGCTTTTCAAATGTGTACACTTCATCAGGGTTGCTATAAATAAACTGTGTCTTGATTTAGGACACATCAGCTACCATTGCAATTTCAGTGCTCCCTTAGCGTTCTAAACTTTCACTGGAAGTAGTGGTTATGGGGAAGAAAATGCTAGCACAGGAGTGCGACTTACCCGTCCCAAAGCTTTCCTCTCCACAAAGGGACAGTTTGCTTGCATCCATCAAATTCCCAAAAAACTTCCAGCCAGTAGGGGTCTCATACAAAGCGATCTTTGTAGCATTAGCCACCCTTCAAAGGCATGAAATCAAAGTTACATCACAGCAGGACTGTTAGCATAGCCATGCGAGGAATGGAAACGAGCAACCGTTATTGTAATCAAGGGTCTCATTTAGCATTGCTCAGAGGTACACATAATTCTAAGATTGGTGGAAAATCATAAGAGAAAACTTGTGCACAATGGGCTATTATATGTGGATTCAGAGGAGGGGGAGAAGAGGAAGAAGAAAGAATTAATTCAGATCATGGAGTTCAATATTTTAGAAGCAACGGTAGTAAAATGTGCAGGGCTGTTTTTTAAGCTATTGAAACACATGTGTTTTGGATACAGACTGCATCTATAACTATTTTATAAAGAACAAAAGAATGGTGTTTTGATGCACTTATAATCACAGATCATAGACTACTGGATCTGGGAGGTCAGCATTTTACAGAGAAGGAAACAGGGCCCAGAATGTGATGTGGTCAGACCAAGGTCACACAGCCAGGCTGACCCACTGCCCAGGATCCAGCTGCCCATTAGTGTTCCTTTCATCTCATCAGAAGGCTCCACTTGCCCCAGCTTCACCGACACTGATCAGTGATTCCCTTCCCCTCCAACCTATCTTTTTACTTCTCCAAATATATCTTTAGACTATTTAAAACATTTGAGTGATTTTTAAAAAAAATTCCTTTCCCTTTGAACTGGAAAAGGTACCTGACAAGTTTCATTCACTGTGAGATTTGCTTTCCAGAATTCTTGCCTTATTCCTAACAAAGCAATGTCATATTTGGACTCTAACATTTTGAAAACTATGAAAATATAATAAACTTTTATCTGGTTAATGAGGTATTTCAGTTGCAATTTTATTTTATTTTATTTATTTATTTTTTAATCCTTTTTGTCTTTTTTCGTGACCGGCAACGGATCACAACCCTCAGTGTCGCGCCCGTACCGGACCGGGACTGGCCACGGGATCGCAACCCTCGGAGTTGCTCCCGCCCCTCGCTCAGCCAGTGAGCGGCCGGTCTGTATGTGGGATCCGAACCCTCGGTGGGAGCGCCGCCGCGCTTCCCAAGCGGCGCACTATAGCAGTGCGCCACCGGGCCGGCCCTTCAGTTGCAATTTTATATGAGGACTATCAATTTTTCCAAAAATTGGAAGCAAACTTGGATGACACAGAAGATATTTCAGGACCTAATAGGTCTAATATATGATAGTAGGGCCACAAACCAGCTCACAACTTCAGATGTAGGATCTGGAGGCAGAAGCATTGGGTTTTAATTCTAGCTCTAATTGGCTGTGGGGTTTTGGACAAGATTGTTAACTTCTCTGATTTTCAGTTTCCCCTCTTTTAAAATGCAGATTGCGGTGAGGATCAATTGAGATGGTAAATGTAAAAAGCACTATATATACTACAAACCACTATCTGGATGTCAGTCATTATTTTCTTGTTAACTGAAGTGTCGTCAGCACTAAATTTGTAACCATCTCCCCCTCAACAGGAAACTATTGCATGGCCCAGTGGTTGGGAGCAAAGGCTCTGGGTACAAATTCTGACTCAGCTATTTACTAGTTGGGTGGCCTTAAATTATATAACTTCTTTATCCTTTTGTTTTCCCACTAGCAAAATGGGGTTACCTATAGCATTTATCTCATAGGTTTGGTCTGATAATTAAAAGATTTAAAATATGTAAAGTATTTAGTGTCTAGGACAATAAATATTAGCTATTATAAGAGCCTACTTTCCTCCCTGGCTTGACCCTTTACTCATTCATTCATTCATTCTTTACCATTCATTCAGCAAACACCCCCTGGACACCTGACATGTTCTAATTAATATTTTCCCTGGTCTTTGGTTATTTATTACTTTTATTTTTCAGTTGTTCTAGATGTGATCTCATAAACCACCTTAAAGCCTTTGCATAATGAAGTGACATATGATAAATAGACAGATATACAGATAAGCAAATCTGAGATATCAGCTACCTATTGTCACTGGTTTCTTTCTCATAAAAACTAAATATAACTATTTTTTAACCTGTTTGAGCTTTCTGTTTTAGATTTTGGACACATGAACATTTACTATGTAATCCAGTTCTGCTGAAACTCAAAAATTACTTCAAATTGCTTTCACCCAAACTCTGTGCACACTGCTAAAGGAAAGTGATCCTCTAGAATGATGTCTTGAGTACAACGGAAGTGCCATCCATTCATTTATTCATTAAAATTCAATCATTTATTTCTTTAAATGATATTGTGTGTGTGTGTGTCCTACTATGTGCCAGGCACACTATGGCCAGGCAGAGTCTAGGATGGTGAATAAGAGTCCTTTCTCTGCAGAAGTACATAGTTAAGCAGGGCCGGCAATGAGGCAAATGGGCTATCAGAACCTAGTGTGGAAAGTGCCAGGATGGAGGAAGTGCAGGGGCGAAGGCAGCAAAGGGGGGCATCTGATCCTAAAGACTCACCCATTCCCTCATATGAGAAACAGCACATATGAGTATTATGCATCAGATGCCTGTGCTGAAAAGGGAGAAAGAGTGTTCCAGGGACAGCGGAAGGCATGGTGAAGACCAGGACGTTCCGAGACACGAGGGCCAAGCAGATGGAGAGACCTACCGGTCCAGGGCACCGCTTGTGGGCATGCTGCGTGCAAAGCCGCGGACCCCGGTTTTCTGGAAATACGGAATGCTGAAGATGTTAGCAGCGATGACAGCCACAGAGTCAGAAGGGTTCACAAAGAACCCGTGCTTGCCCAGAATCATGTTTCGATCCTTCGGGAGAAAGGAGATTCAAAGGAAGACTTTTAACCAAACTACTAAACAAATCCAACTGTCTTCCATGGGGGTTTTATAAGATTTAAAACTATAAAATTTAAAAGTGATACATTTACTCATACTGGGTTTTAAACACTGGATTCGATTATTAATGGATCTGTACATTACCACTGGGCCAAAGGCACCTCCATGCCAAAGAGTTAAAACTGTTTCCAATTAAAGTACAAGCACAAACTCCTTTTGAGCCGAATACTCTGTTCTGCCTCCAAAGCCTGGCTAACTTTAACCTCCTAGACCTTTTCCAAGCTCTGGAACCAATCACTTCTCTCCCAGAGGAGTGGAGAGAAGGCAACGAGAGAGGAAATGTTGGCTATTTACACAGTTTGGTAGGTCTACCAGGCATCCTTTGAGGAACAAAGGCAGATTTCTTCAAGGAAAGGCTTCCAAATCATGGCCCCTCTGTTTGGTACTGGGCCCAGCAAAATATGCTGCTACTTCACTGCTTCCTTGGTGCCTGGCACTCACACTCAAGTAACTGAGAGTGTGGACGAAAACCTCCCAGCACGCACTACATCAGGAGGAGGCACTGCAAATCAATGTCTGCTAGGAACCCCCTTAATTTTCCAAAATTTTGATATGTGAAAAATTATTTTCAGGGGCCGGCCCGGTGGCGCACTGGATAGTGCGCCGCTTGGGAAGCGCGGCGGGGCTCC